TTCGTGCGCCCCTGGTATGGCGCAAGGAGCGACGCAGGTAAGGCCTGGGCCTCAAGCAGCGCCTGGCGGGAGTTGGACTTCCTGAGGTGGGACGTGAGGGGCTCCGGTGCTGTTTGTCCACCTTGCAGAAATGCTTTGAGGGACAGAAAGACCTCGGAGCAGGGGCTGAGCTGTTTCTGCAAAACGCTTCTACCTCCAGAACCCCTCCCCGCCAGTGCTGGGCCTATACACGTGCTTCCAATCTTTAGGCCAGTTTTAAAACACGACCGGCTGTTCTAACTCTGCGTGGCTGTTAGCCTCTTTTAGGCTGTTAAAACAGAACGTGTGCCGCAAAAAAAAAAAAAGTGTGATTTCCAGATTTAACTCGTTGTCTTAATTAAAAATCAGCTCAGGTTGTACGCTTGTTAGCAGAAGGGAAGGTGGTGGTTAGGCGTTGGGGGGGGGGAGCACCAGCTGGCGTGGTTTTGTTGATCACTTGTTTGCTGTGTGCGCTGATGGGCCTTCTTGCTGAGAGTGCTGCTTAAGTCTGACCTAAACCACAGCAAAATGTCAATGACTTTTATCCCTACCTTTTTTTTTTTTCTCCTAGCTGTAAAAGCAAAGTAGAAACGCTTCTGGGTGGGGTGGCACAGTTGCTGGTGGCATGAGGTATCATTGCCCAGTGGTTAGTACTGTAGAGGTGAAAAACTGGAGTAACATCCATTTTCTGAGAGCTTCAGGGCTCACAAGAAGGGTTTCTATCCGAAGGCAGCATTGCAGAAGGCGCTGTCCTGAGGACGCAACTCCGCGCTAGCTCTGTGGGATGCTGGTGGTGCTTCAGCGTGCTGTGGAGGAAGGCTCTGCGCTGCCCAGCTGGATTCCAGTCAAACCTTGATGTATGGAGGAAAAATTCTAACTGCTTAGTAGCAATTACTTTGATGTTGGTGTCAGCTTACGCTTGTGCTTGCACGTGGCTTTTTGGACACGCTCGCAGCACCTCTTGGCTCTTGAGTGTGGTTTTCCCGGCAGCAGCCTGACCCCCTCCATGCCTGCATCCCTCCCTTCAGTGCCCTTTTTGGTTGGCCTGACTCTCAACTCCGACTGGAAATGCTGGTCCGGGGCTGTGTGGGAGCCACTGCTCACATTTGGAAGGAGCTTCCTGTTGGTGTTTTCCAAGGTACTTTGGTCACCTGCACTTGAAAGGGTCTCTTGTGCAATTCCAGTGGGGAAAAAAATTGTTGGTGGGCTGATTATTTGAGTCTCGAGAGCAGTGCTGGCCCCGATGGGCAAAACGATCTCTGTTTCATTGCACTCCTGCCCTGTCTCATATTTTGTAATTGCGTTGTAAGTTCGGGGTCAGGGGCTGTGTCTTCCTTCTCCTGCAGAGGAGGACCTTGGACTCTGGTCATAGCTCCTGCCCCCGATGTGCCGGGTGGCTGGCACAGGGCACTTGGGCCTACACTTGGGGAGCTCCAGCTTGAGGGCCTTCGAAGGAGCTGATGCTGCCATGCAGCAGCACTGAGTATCCTCGGGGCAGCGGGGACCAGCCGTGAGATGGGGCTGGGGGGCATCCGGGCTTGCAAAGCCATTCTAACCAGCCACATCTGCAGGTTTTTGTTGCTCAGGTCACCAGAGCAAGGCCTCATCTCTGGAGCAGCAGCCCGAGAAAGAGCTTGGGGCTGCAGGGCATTGCAGTTTTGGGGCAAGGACATGGGAAAATGTGAGTTGCCTCGGAACAGCTTATTAATTTAAACACTGTGAATGAACATGTAAACCAGATCTTGATTAGGAAAAAGCCCTGTGAGGGCTCCCCGTGAATATGGTTTGAGTCCTGCAAATGAACAAGCGCTGTGTGGAAAATAGACCTCGGCGTACCTACAGAAAACATCAAGCAGTTGCAGCGCGGGGCTGCCGTCCTGGGCGGCTGCTGTCCTGGGCTGCTGCCTGCTCTCGGTCTGCAGGCAAATTGGGCAGCGCGATTTCCACTTGTAAACTGGGCAGTCGCAGCCTGGGCGCCGTGAAATTTGTGAACTTGGGTGCAGAGACAACTCTGATGTCTCGTGACCGGGAGTTCTCCAACTCCGGGCAGAAGTACTCCTCTTCTTGGTGCATGTGTCCTTTGTTTTTCGGCATGTGTTGTTTCCTACACAGAGAGTGCACTGTGGCCAAACCCGACCCTCCAGGCAGGTGTTTGGCCTGGGGGTTATATGTGTTCATGTAAAGGCAGCGCTGAACTCCCTGTGCTGCCGGTAGGTCCCCTTCGTAGGCAGTTGCCTCTCTTGATGAATAAATAACTTCACTACTAGCAAATGTTATGTTCTTCTAAATACCAGTGTCATTTTGAAATCATTAGCCTGATGTTTTTGGCTAGTGGTAGCGTTTACCAACTCCCAACTCACCTATCTGTGTTTCCAATAAATACTTGAACACTTTTTTGGCAAAGAGCTTCTTACACACTTTAAACCAGCCTTTTAAAAGATGCTGTTGAGTGATGTCTGGAGAAGCAGAATGAGTTACTATGCAATCCAGCGAGCCCCAAAGTCCTTCCTGTGTTAAGCAAAGCCAACCCAATCCCGAAATGATGAGAGCTGCAGTACCTCGAGATGGTTAGTTTGGTTATTAAGGTTTTCAAATAGGATACCGGAGCTTGTTTTGCATTGCTCTTGTAGATAAGAAACAGCTGTCAGCCAGGTTCTAATGAGCAGGAGAGCAAAGATTTGTTTTGGATGGTTTTAGTACCATGTTTATGCTCTGGGAAAACCAGTGGTAATTTTCTGTGGTTGTTGATGTGCTGGTAGATAAAGCAGCGGTGTAAATAGCTGCTTAACCTGCACCTTCTCTCTGTGGCACTAACTCTGCAAACTCTGTTTTCCGAGTTATTCTAGATCTTAACATTTGCCCAGAGGGCATGGTTTGGCATCTGGTCAGCTCTCTTGAGGTCTCCCTGCGCTCGGGAGGGTGGTGAAATCATTGCAAAGGGGGAAAAGCAGAGCACAGTCATTCCTGAGCCGAGGCAGCTCTCAGTGGGCTTGCAGCTGGTCAGTGCGTCCTCATTATGGCCGGCCAAACACTAATCAGGGCTTCTGAGGATCAATGAGCTGTGATAAAGAAGTTCCTCTCAAGGAGCATCTAATGCCGCAGGGAGGGGATGGGTTAAGCTCTTACGCAGGTTGCTTCAACTTATGTGGGGTCGAGATGACAGCGGTGGCCAGGAGGCATCTGAACCCCCAGGCGCGGGTCTGTGGCTGGTTTCATGTTTTTCCCCTCTGTGTCCTCATTTTTCTTCTTTTTTTTTTCCCCCCCCCCAGATTTAATCTGGCTCTGAAATCAAGAGTTCCTGCTCTGTGGTTTAGCTACCCATTTTGATGGGGGCAGATTGGGATCAACAGAGGATTAGAGCTTCGTTACAGGGTGGGATGGGAAGGAGGATTCCTGAGTGGGAAAGCTTGTTAGATAGAGGAAGTGAGTCGGGCTCAGAGGATGCTCGTTGTTTTTCAGGAACTTCATTAGTGTCTGTTTAAGCTGTGTTGGATCCGTGGTGGTTTGGCATTGCCCCCTCCTCGCTTGTTTGCAGGGGGGGGCTGATGACTCCCCAGAATAACGGGGTTTTGCTTGCTTGTTTTGAAGGAATCGGAGGTGAGGACCAAAAGCAATACGTAACCTAGAAGGGCCCTTCCTACCAATTGCCTCCTCTTCTCCTGCAGGAAACGCACAAAGTTTACAGGCAGAAACTGGAGGAAGTCACCAGCTTGCAGACAGCCTGCAGCACCTCCATACACCGGCAGAAGAAGACACTAAGAGACCTGAAGCACAGCCTGCAACGGTAACGGGAGACCTGGAGGGTGGAGGAGGTGGGGATGGGATGTTTCTCCTTCCCAAAGGATGAAATGTTTGGATTTTTAGCATTTTAATATGCAGTGTGTGTCACGGTGGTAATTTTGCTTCATTATTAATCTTGGGTCACCTCCATTTATCACAGCCAGATAAAAATGTTTGTAACCCCATGAGAGATGGGGTCCTATAAACAAGGAAGATCTCTTGAGGGAGCCTGCATGGGTTTGCATCCTTGGGGTAGGTCCCATGCGCTGCAGGACTTTACAGCTTTTGGTCTGCGTGTTTTGCTAGGTGGGCAAAGCTTTGCTCCATAAGCTGTGCTGGAAAAGCAGCATCAATCCTTGAACCTGAACTTGCTGCTGGGTGGATTGACAGGAGGGAACTGTTTCTGGCTGCTCAGCTGATCCCCGGGAGCCACGGGCTAAATTCCTTGTGTGCAGGTCTGAAAACACCACTTCCGACACCACGGGTTGCTAACGCAGCTGCGCTGTGCTCTGCTTTCTGTTTTACATCAATTGGTAGAACCACAGTTTTTCGGTAAATCATCAGCTGTGCGTTTTGTTACGCCCTGAAATATTTCATGCCTGAAGAGTTGCAGCCTCTGCAAGGGCAATGCCTGAAACTGCGCATAAACTTCCCAAAGTGGAAGGAGTTCCTGCAAAAAGCACAATATTCCCTAAGTACCCTGCTAGGAAAGACATACAGGATCCTGTCACCCACTGGAGATGAAAAGAAAAGCTGATTTATAAACAAGCTCATTGAAATAGCCTACAAGGACATAAACCAGGCAGTGAAATACAATCATGGCTAAGCTAAATGACAACATTACCACCTTTTTATTTAAAGGAAAATAAAAACATGAACAGGAATATCTTGTTTCTGTGTTCTTGCAGGTGCAAGCCCAGAGCGAGTCCTGAAGAATTTGCTCTCATTCAGGAGATCAGTACCCAGATCAAGGAGAGGCAAAATGCCTTCTTCGACATGGAAGCCTACTTGCCGAAGAAGAACGGGTACGTGCTTCGCCAGGGAGGTGTGCGCTCTGGGAAAGCTGATTTTTTTTTTTTTAAGTGTTCACAGCAGTGTTCCCAAAGAATAATGTGCATGTTGAACAAATACATGTAAAACTGGATTAGTCATAAATCTCTTGCTGAGCTGCTGTGTCAGTTGTACACAGAATTCATTAGCTGGAAGTGTATGTAAATGTAGTGCATGTAGGCAGTGCAGGTTTTCTTGTTAAAATAAAAGTAACCCTGCATTGGCAAGAGATTGTGCGATTTGCTGTTTCATGCTGATGTTTTCCTGTGCTATTTTTTTAAGACTAAATCAGCACAAGAATTTTCTCTTTTTTTTTTTAAGTAGTGTTTTCATCCGACTTAAAATTTATACTTTGCTTCAAGTAGGGGTTGCTAGGACAGATTTCTTTCAGTTGTCAAGGGCTGTGTGATGTTGCAGCCCCTCGGAAGTTTCCATTAGAAACTTTTCTTCCAATTTCTCCCTGTTATTCTTGGCTTTGGACAGTGCACACTAGGTATCTCGCTCTTAGACTGTAGCACAGAAAAGGGACCAGGAAAATAGACCTTTTCTCTATCTTCTTGGAAATGCTGACCAATCTTCCCACGTTTAAACCCTATTCTGTAGTCTCTCTCTCCAGTTTGCCTTAATTAAAAACCTACAGCAAACGTGGCTTTGGCAGATATGCTGGTCTCTTCATCTCTGATCTGGGACATCCTGCAGCGTTCAAATAAATCGGACTTAGGTGGGTCTGCTCTTGGTTTTTTGTCTTGCAGCTTGTACTTAAACCTGGTGCTGGGAAACGTGAATGTAACTCTCCTGAGTAACCAAGCAAAGTAAGTGAGCGTTTCCACGCGTGTTAATTTGAGTTTCTCTGGGGCCAGCCGTGGATATGGACTGAAGTCCAGAGACGGGAGTGCTTTTCTCTTAGATCTGATGAAAGATGAACTGTCGAGGGTGGGCAAGTCGGACTGTGATATGAGACCAAGCTAATGCTTCGTGTAGCTCTGATGGATTCTGTCCATCGTTTGCTTTTAAGCCCAGCGCAGCATGTTGCCTTAATTGTAAGGGTTTTTTTGCAAAGAAAAATGGTATTGCGACTTCCAGGCATACAGTGCTTCAGAAAATGGAGTAGGTTTTTTTTTTTAATCTTATCATGCCAACCCAGAAGCCAGCCTCTATGGATTCAAGCTGTTGAGTTGTCTTGCAGCGTTAACGGCCACGCAGCCTAGACAGACCCTGCGGGCAAAACGTGGCCTTTCACCGGTGTCCGCTGGTTTTCTAAATGTTTCAAGCAAAACCTCATGTCTCTGGGCTTCGCATGTGGATTTGTATCTGGTTTGAAAAAAGTGAAGCTACGTTCTGGTAAAACACCCGTTTATGTCTATAAACAGCGGCTGTTCCCTTCCAGGTTTGCCTACAAGGATGAGTATGAGAAGTTCAAGCTTTATCTGACAATAATCTTGTTACTTGGAGCCGTCACCTGCAGGTTTATTCTCCACTACAGGCAAGCCTGCATTTTTACTTTTAATCAAATATTTTTGAATAAAAGCGTGCTGGGTTTGTTCTCTTCTGTTAAGGACGGTGAAAGGGGCTCCGGCAGCATTTAGGCTTCGAGTAGTTGGACAGCAGGACAGCTTTTGCACCTCTTCTTCAACACTGGCAGGACCTGTGTTTTGGCTACTTGCTTTTCTTTGTTTACCTTTTTTTTGAGTCTCTTGTAACTAAGAAAAGTCCAACATAGTGTTTCCTGATCTGTTGTTTTTCTGGCCTCGTGCTGTGCTTGGGAACGAGCTGTTGGTTTTGCTCATGGGTTGTCCCAGGCAGGGACCGGCACCGTGCCACAGCTCTCAGGTTGCAAATGCAACAAGAGAGGATTTGCATGGAATGGGCAGTCCTGAATTGTTATCTCTAGGTTATGATAAAGTGTCTGAGCACCAACAAGCTTCCAGTATTCAGTTTTGCTTAAAAAATAGGAAGATGTTGGAGCCAGGCACTTCTGGTCCAGGTCTCTGTGGCTCTGGGGTGAATGCAGGATCATATCGAAGAATGATGCTGCCATATACAGAGGCTGCCCCAAATCCCCTTGGCTTCAGAGGTTTGCAGATGGCAAAATAAAAATGTCTTTTTTTGCCCCCAGAGTGTAATGCTCTTCTGCTCTTTTAGTTGATTGGATTTACATAGATCTCATGGAATCTCCTCATTGAATTAGCCTGGAAATGCCTCTCTAAATTGGATCATCCACTGCTTCCATGGTGCTTTCTCTCCTTCAGAAGGAATTAATGTCATCTCTGCATACCTGCTTATCAGCTCAGGATCTGCAGTGTTCTATTATGGGGTGCTTACTGGAGTAAAGGACTCTGAGCCCGGCAGTGCTGCCGATGCTCCTGACTCTGCACGTGGATCAGAGATGTTCAGGACTGTGGTTTCGTGTCCATGGCTTGCTTGGGGAGGTTTTTATCCACCCAAGGGAAGGGAGGAAAAATAGGGATTTTTTTGAATGTGTCTTTATAATTAACAAGATTTTTTTTTTTTACTGTGTGTGTTTTCTATTTAACAGGGTGACAGATGAAGTGTTTAACTTTCTGTTAGTGTGGTATTACTGCACGCTGACGATACGGGAAAGCATTCTCATTAGCAATGGATCAAGGTACCATGCCACCTGCAAAAACTATTGAAAGCATCAAATGTCCTTAAAAATAAAAGCAAGGTACAAAAGGGGATTCAGCTTGGCAATTTGAATTGATTTGCTGAAGCCCAGCAAATCTGAGATGCTGATGCCTCTCTGCAGGGTCTCTTGTCTCTGTCCCCAGTCGCTTCCAGGGCAGATGTGGCCACCTGAGGTTTGGGGAGGGAGAAGATACAGTTCCTGAAAGTCCTTAAGCTCTTGGTCCAAAACGTTGGATGTTTTTGGTAGCTGTGGGTTAGTTGTAGATCTGGTCTCGGGTGTAAGTGTGTATGTGCTTTTGGTGAAAGAACCAACCCGAGGTGCTGGCTGCCCCGTGGTTAGCATGTGACTGAATTACAGTCGTGTCGAGGGAAGCTGGCGGTTAGGGGATAACTGTAGAAAGAGCTGGGAACACGAGTAAAACCCTGGGAGAAGTTAACTGAAAGATGATCCTTACTTCAAGCCCACGTTTCTTTGTGGCACCCTTGGTAGGAGTATCCTAAGGCAGGGTGGTGAGGTCCTGCTGGTGAATCGCTCCTGGAGCATCTCCCTTAGGTCTGGGTTGAGAAGTTGCTTGAGTTGGCTCTTTGCAGCCTGGAATCTGCTGTTAGATTTTCAGCAATAACCCGATGGCTGCATGTCCCCGGTTTTCATCATGGAGATAGGCTGGTGCAGGGGAGCTGCAGCCATCGCCACGTCTCTCCCCATGCGTCTCGGTTTGCTGCTGGGGGAGCGGCGGCTGCTGCCGCCACGCTTGCAGCTCCCTGTTGTGTTAATTAATTGGGGGTCTAACTTGTCTCGTTCGCCACCTTTTGAGCAGCTGGCGTCACGTTAGCCCTGCTTCCCGCATGCTTCTTGCTCTGAAGGCTGCACAGAGCACTTGCACGGTCCCTTGTAGTGGTGCTTGTACAGGGGTAGACCAGCACTTGCGTTAGTGGCAGGAGTCAGTGTTGTCCTAATTAAGTAGCAATATCTAATGATCAACTGGGAGCAGCTTATGGCTCCTTGTTTCAGCCAGTCACTTCCATCTCTGAAGCCAATTTATTCCGTGATCTCCTCGGAATGGGGATGGAAGGGAGCGTTTCTGGGAGTCTTGTCTTGGCTGGATGCTTGTGGTCCCCACTCCCGATGTAAGAGGGGGTTTGTGCCTGGAGGCAGGCAGCAGTGCGGTGGTGGGAAAATCGGGGCCTTCCTGCTTTGCCTGGGGGCAAAATCTGAAATGTGGGCAGATTTCTGGGAGCTGCTTGAGGACATGGCTCCCAGCACTGGCCACGGGCAGCAGGGATGAAGCAGTCTCTTCTGCAAGCACAGCTGTCCCCAGGGCTGCTGCAGGCGTGATGTCTTGTTTTGGGGAGCTTTCCAGAGGTGGCGGGGAATGCTGTGAGGCTGGAGACAAAGAAGGAAAAACAAAGCATGGGGATGTAAAGTCGCTTGCCCAAGGCTGGCAGAGAAACCTCTGAGCCTGGGCTTGCTGCATCCACAGAGGTTGGTCATAGTGACTCGGGTGTTGTCTTCTGTTAGAGGTTGCACGCCTTTGGTTGGAAATGTCCCAGATTAACCCATCGTGTTGGCTTAGTTTCCAAAGCAGCACTGTCCCCAAGGCAGGCCTTCACTTGATTCTGCCTTGCTGCAGCCCTTGCTCACTTTACTGTAATTTTCTGAGTTTTCTGCAGCGTTCGTGTCTGAAAGAAACAGCCACCTCATAGGAAGGACTTGGAAATGTCACTTATTTGCATGGCAGGGATAAAAAAAAAAAGGGTGTGTGGGCTGGAACTTGTGCATCATTAGTCACCACGGCACTTCGTGCTGCAGGGACTGCTGCTTCTTGCTGTGCTGGAGAGCTCGTGGGAGCATGCGAGATGTGCCCCGGTCCTGAGCCTCCCTCCAGCAGTTGTGGATTGGTGTCCCCAGCTAAGCCCTATTGCCAGGCCAGTGTTCCACAGCACCCCTTTTGTTTGAGTTGGTCCATCTGTTTTGTTCCCTGTCCTTCTTCCTCTCCCAAGTCAGGATCATCTTTTGTCTGTGACGACAGACTTAAAATGCTAAAACCCATGTTTCTCATCTAACTGCCACGTTTTTTTCTGTTCAGGATCAAAGGCTGGTGGGTGTCTCATCACTACGTTTCCACGTTCCTGTCTGGAGTAATGTTAACGTGGTGAGTCCGCTTTTGCCTGCTCGAGGTGCTTCAAGCCCGTTTCACAGTGTTTGCGTCATCTGAGCATTTAAATCCAGTGTGTCCACAAAGCTGGGGCCGCACGGGCACATGGCAAAGCGTCAGACTTAATATTTGTCTGATGTTACGGGTGTTTTCAGTGACGCATGCAACACTGCAAGTTTGTATTTACATTGCTGATTTAAAAAAAAGAAAGAAAAGAAGCCCAGACCCTAAGCTGTAGTTGCACTGACGCTAGCAAACAAGTCTCCTGATTGCGGTCTCTGTGTAACTAAGCAAACAAGCAGCGCTTTGCTTGGTGAGATGGAAGTGCAAAATGAGTCTGTTTGGTGCCTTTACTGAACTCAGACTACAAACTGAGTATAAAGCCAAAAATGCAAGTTACTTTCCAACGAGTGGTGGCGTTGGTCAAACAGCGCAGCGATGCACCCTGCGTACAGCGCCTGTGCAGCCCGTCTCAACTTTGGCATGAACTCATGAGTTAATAATTAAAAATTGTTTTAAAACAACACATGTTTCTGCTCCCGAATCTGTAAGGGGATGACGCAGAGGCTGGAGCAGAAGGTCCCCTGTCCTCTGTCTGTCCTGAGCTACCCTTAGGATAAGGAGCACAACCACCCCCTGCTCCTCCGCTTGGATTCTTGATGCAGAGGCTGCTGAAGGGCTTCAGTCGCTGACTAGAGAAAACTGCAATGAGCAAATGAATAAGAGGGAGCAGCATTTATCCATGTTGGAGAGGGGAAACCTAATAAATGAGAGCATTTCCGACACGCCAGAGTTGTGATGTGCGGCTGTAGCAGCCTCTCTGGGCTCCCGATGGGGTGGAGCGGGCTGGGTACCAGCTGCTTTCTTCGTTTGCTAATGGGATCTGGCTTGGCTGAGGAGGGGAAGGGCACGGCACTGTTTGCTTTTTATCAGACAAATAGACTTCCTTTGTATTTTGCTTTCAGGCCAGATGGACTCATGTATCAAATGTTTCGCAGTCAATTTTTAGCGTTTTCGATATTTCAGAGTGAGTATATCTTACCTTGCTAATTCATGGGATAAAAGAGTTTCGTATCTTATGTGCTTGGTAAATACTGGAGTATTAAACTGTAGGAATATAAAGGTAGCATAGAAATATGCAATATACAAATAAACAATAATTAAATGCTATTAGATTAAATAGTATTAAAGTAGTTTTTATGTTTATCATACTTCTGAAGAGCCAATGCAATGATATTTTCTCTCTCCTTCTCCAGGTTGCGTTCAGTTCTTACAGTATTATTATCAAAGGGGCTGCCTTTACAGACTCCGTGCTTTGGGGGAGAGAAACCACTTGGACCTTACAGTAGGTGAGGTTTTCTGCAACATGTTCTTTGCAAAGTTTTTGCACGGGTTTTAGATGCAGTGGGAGGGACAGGGCTGTGTGGCCTTCTGAGAGCGAGCTTTGCAGAGCTGCTGCCCCACTGCCTGTGTCCTAAGGCAGGAAGAGGAGCAAGGTTTTTATCCCCCTCCTCAGGTCCTGTGGGTCGGGAGCAGAGGGCTCTGATCTCCCTGGGCTCTCGAGGGGGTTAAGATGGAGATGTTGGTTATCCCCTTCTTCATCCTCCTCCCATTACCCCACCTTAAAGTCTGTACTTTAAATCGGTTGGGTTATTGTGGAGCGGGATGGGAATAGCCCTTACGGGGTGGTCTGGGTGGGGAGGGCTGCAGCTCCCGTCCTGGCTTGTCTGTGCTCACTCTCTGCCTCTTCTGTTAACCTCTTCCAGAAGGATTTCAGTCCTGGATGTGGCGGGGGCTGACATTTCTCCTTCCCTTCTTGTTCTTTGGGCATGTAAGTCGAACAATCCTGTTCCCCCCTCGGTGACATGGGGCCTCGGGAGGGTCTGCTGCTGCAGTTGCAGCACCCTAAAAAAGTGCTCTAGATCACACACATCCATGGCAAATGTTTCTATATGTTTTGCTAGTAATGAAACAGCTTTTTTTTTCCCCTTCTTTTTTAGTTCTGGCAGCTGTATAATGCGATCACGCTTTTTGGATTGTCAAGGCATAAGGAGTGCAAAGAATGGCAGGTGGGTGTTGGTTCTGCTCAGAAAAAGCACAGAGCAGGGGGAGAGGGGGTGTTTAACCACATCTTTCAAGATATTTGGGCATCTGACCCCATCTAAATATCTCAGGATGATGTGGCACAGAGCCTATACAAGAGAACTCAAAATAAATGTGCATTACTGTAGAGAAACTTGCACCCACGGGTGACCACACAAACTGAAAAGCAGAGTGTAGGAGAAAAAAAAACACATGTGGGTAAATATCTCTCCCTGTTGTTTGTGTATATGGGCATTTAATAGCAATGGCTGCTGAGTTGCTGGTGGTTCTTTATATGGCTGATCCATGGGTTACATGTCCAAAAATAGGATGACAGAGAAACGATGGCAGTGAATCACTTTAAAAACGTATTATCCACTGTATTGCCCCACTTTTAGGGATCCTTCCAGTTTTCTCAGTTGCTGTCACCCATCAAATATGTCTATTTTCCAGCTATAGAGTTGCGCTCCTGTAGATCCAGATTGGACTGCATCCCACGTGCAGATAATCTGAGGGTCTTTATTTTGGTCAGACCTTGCTGTAACTTGGGTACTCGCTTTGTTCAGGAGGAACACAGCTCCCTGCAGAAACGTGTCATTCTCCCACCCACACCTGTGCCGCTGCTGTTCGATGAAAGAGCTTGTAGCATAATGTTAATCCTTTGGACTGGACTTGATGGTTTGATGTTACTGCCTCGTAGAGTCCAGTGATATTGAACATAATCCATGTTGTAATATTAAAAAGTAGTAAATGCTACTTAAATGATCATGATAAAATCATACTTCCTGTTGACCCATGCAGCTGGATGCGTGAATGTGTATTTGGCCACGATCTTCTCTCCTCGTGTGCTAATGGATCCCTGGACTTGCCAACCACGTCCCATCAGAGCTCGCTTAAATGTGGCCAGAGCAGTGCCCTCAGCTCTCCTCTTTTTTTCCCCTTTCTCCCCTCTCAGGTTTTTGTGTTGGCTTTCACGTTTCTGCTGCTCTTCCTTGGGAACTTCCTCACTACTCTCAAAGTGGTGCACACTAAGCTCCAGAAAAACAAAGACAAAATGAAGAAGCTGTGACCCTCTCCTCCCCGGCGTGCCGGCTGCCATCTCTCCGCCTGCAGTAGGTGCTGGGCTTGGGATGGATCCTGCTAAACCCCAGCTACACGATGGGACGGGCTCAGAAGGACTCATCCGTCCCTGTGTTTGGTGAAGGATACGAACTCTGCCAGCACAGACTCAGTATTACACAAGCATGGCTCTCCAGTCTGCGGTCCTGCTATTTATGTATATTTAATACAAAATGTGTTTGCTTTTTTTTTTCTCTGTATATAGAGCAGCATGCACCTGCCCAGCCAAGCCCCAACATTGGGAGAATGTGGGATCTACTGTAATTCCAATTTTGGAATGATATTTAACACTTTCCAGTTTTATTATTTAAATTCTGGGTATTGGATTTGCAAAGCTTTATGAACACTCCAGGTTGATCAGTAATACAGACCAAATGTTGGTTTTTAAAGGCATTTGTTTAGGGCCTATTTTCAGTGGCAATACTAACCTGTGTGTACTGTGAAAAAAAAAAAAAATGCCCATCTTTGTACCATACTGCTGCTATATACACTTTTTAAAAGCTATTTAAAGAAGATAAATCCTATTTTAAAAACAAAAACAAGCGAGCAAAATGAGTTGTTAAATGGCAGGGAAGTCGGATAGCCTTCTTCCAGGGAGACCAGGTCACCTGTCCAGGCTTGGAAAAGACCTAAAATAAACCGTTCAATATGCAGCTGCTTCAGCCCCTTTTTAATAACAAATACACTGCCCTTCAGGTTGGCTTCTTCAGGACACTGTTCTTCCTTAAAATGGCCTTGATCAGTGGCAGCAAGTGCACTTGCACTTTGGTTTCTGCTTTCTGTATTTTTTTGCTCCCTGTGCTGTTCTAAAAAGGGGAAGACAGGCTCAGCAGAAATATTAAATACTTTCTTTAGATGCTGCACTTGTACCGGTAGTTAAGAGAGTGCAAACACTCGTTCAGGAGTATGGCAGAGGACAAATACTGGCTCCCGTCCTGCTTAACTCCTTGTGCTGCTTGAACTTAAACTTATTCACATGGGCCTGTTTTGGGTGCTGTAACATCTGTACCCCCTAAGGCCAGCTGCAGTATTGTGAGCTGCTCGAGGCAGCATCTTTCCCAACAGTGAAGGCTTCCTTTGAGCTAGCACAAAGCCCAAACTGGGCGTACGCTTTGGCAGAGCGCGATCTGAAAATTGTGCCCTTCTCCCAGTAAGCGTGCTCATGAAGAAATACGTATGCACTACAGACTTGAAATGGTTTCATCAGTTCTTCTGTTGCTGCGAGGATAGAAAAATTACCTTTACAGTGTTGCTGTCCCGTGGGCATGAACAATAAATTGCAACTTGCATATTTTGAACAACTTTCACATTAGCTGGGCTGTATCTTGCTACGGTAACTTTTGACTTTTGCACACCCTGTGAGGTTGGGTTTTTAAATCCTTTGAACTCTCCATTTATGAGATGTAAACTTTTGAGAGCGATGCTGGAACCTGCTGGATCTAAGCAGTGGACCTGGCTCTCCAGGGGTGCGGAGCCCTGCACATGGTGAGTAGCTTGACTTCTGCAGCAGGAGAAACTCAAAAAAGCAAGAAAGATTCCCACAGCGGAGCTGAGGGTAAAGGCAGCAGCTTCTTGTGCGTTGATGTTTCAGTTTCATAGTGGGCAAAGTGAGGTGTAGTTCTGTGTCTTTCTTTTACTGAGAAATGCCTTCTCATGGAGGAAGGGCTGCACAATTGTTCAAGATTTTTCCATGGTCAAAGATGTGCACAAACTTGTAATTTTATTTATTTTTAAATTTTCTGTTTTAAAATTGTAGGGATTCATAAAACTTAATTAAATCTCAAACCAAGCTAGGGGAAGGAAAAAAAAAAAGGTACGATTTCAAGGATCAAGATCTCTTTACCCTGCAGGTAAAATAATAATGACAGCTCACTCCAAACATATTTTACCAGCGGGTTGTGTAACCAACAGAGGATAAAGTTGCATGAACTCCGTATGATGTACGGTTATCAGGCTTTATGTGCAGGAATTTGTCTAATGGCAGACTCCTGGCATGCACTGCCTAAACCTTTTGGCAAAAGATTATGTCTTGTTACTGTTAACGCAAGCCCTACGTATTCTCCCTTAGGATGGGCGGTAGTTTGCTTTATACAGAAAGCTTTCAGCAACACCTGCGCTGCAGAAACCTCCTTCCCTGTCACAGGTTTGGTTTAGATGATGGCTACAAACTAGTGATTGCTCCTGAAATCGGGGATCTTGCTGTATGGGATGTGCAGAAGAAACAGGAGATTTGAGGCACACGTACTAGGTTGTGCAGTGGGAGCATCCCTCATCCTTAAACAGACAACTGACCCCTTCATCACAAAAGAGAAAATCTTAATTTATAGCACTAGAGATGATTTCATCAGCTAATGAACATGAGTTAAGTCTTTCCCCTAGTGTGCACCAATATTTGCATCTGTTGTGTATTAAATAAGCTACGTAAGTTTATTGTAAAACTGACTTCACGTTACACATAGTAGCTGCTTGGAGTACGAACTTTGAGTGCTCTAAATTAAATTGATATTCTGTTTCTGAATTGGAGCAACTGGTGCATTTCCATTGATAAATACCACTTTCCATTAGAGCAGCAGGCCTTGCAAGGACACCTCTAAAGGTGTAGCTCTGCAAAGCTGGCCCAGCAGCACAGCGAGAGTAGTGGATGCTCTGCCTGCGCACTCCAGGGGCAGCTTGAGGCTAATTCATGCTGCCACCAAATAAATTAATTTGACAATGTTAAGACAGAACTTAATTTCTGCCTCTTCAAAGGTGTCCAATAAGCTGCTCTAACATGATTTCTAAAAAATGTGGCTTTTCAGCTTTTCTGCTTGAAAAAGTGAATTGTAGCTGTAATGTGCCACAACTATTTTACACAGGAAGAAAAAAACCCACTAATTAAGTCACATAGTAGCAGTTTAGATGTGAGTCCAAGACCTGCCTGGTGGTGGTGTGCAGTTAGGAGCAAAAGCCAGATGGACAAAGGCACGCAGCATCAGTTAACCTTGATAAAGAGCTTTGAAAACTTTGTGAGCAGTGCAACAAAAGTGCAAAAGTACTAAAAATAATTAGAATTTGAAAATAAAAACTGTTCTAGGAATACAAACGTAATGGAAAAAAAAAAGTCCTTAATGTTATACTGTTCTTAAAATCTGAATCGCTCGTCTCTCGTGCAGTCCAGGTCATAACACTGAGCACACTGTCCGTTTCTTTTGGCGCTTGGCTTTTTTCATGGCGTTCAGTGCAATGGTTGTTGCTTCTTTAAAGACATTTTCTATGTTTTCACGACATTTTGCTGAGCACTCCAGATAAACTTCTGCATTAATCTGCTGACAAGCTGCTTCACCCTGGAAAGAACAAAAGGTAAGAAAAGATGTAAACCCAATGTATGAGAGAAGGAAGGTGAGATGGGAAAGGGAATTCTTTTGTATGTCTTTGTATCGTGAGGTTGGGAAGAAAGAAGCTGCCTCTGATTACAGGGCTAGAGTGTAAGCAGCATTGGTAATAAACTGAGGCACTGTTAAATTATGGTTTGTTTCTTTTCCCCTATGTTGATCTAGAGCCTGGCCATGCAGTTCAGTGCACTAGAGAGTCTTAAGATGCAGACAGCTGATCATGTAGAAATATTCTCTGTATTAAGCGAAGGTAGATACCTAAGTGAGGGTAAGATGTCTACACCATGATATTTTTTTCAGGCCAGACCATCGCTATTTTGTGATGTCACCTTTAGTAATGAATGTCACATGCTAGAGCAGAATCTGGACCAACGTCTTGCCTTGTTTTGCTGCTGCACGTGCAGGAACCCTGACTTTTGCTTTGGAGCATCGCAAGGGCTCAGCCGAGATCCTCATATCCATGAATGGGTGCCTGCATTTCTCAGCCTCACCCAAACACATGCAATGGGAACAGACTAGAATCTAACACACTTGCATGCGATCCTGGTTGTGTGAAATCACTACAGACAAAACACATTGACTTCTTACTTTGCTTGTGATCCTTTTATTGTCATTGCAGAGTCAGCCCCCACTTTTGAACACTTGTGAGCCTTGGAGTGGGAATTCCGGCTCACAAACTCTGCATTTATTCATTGTAAGCCCTGGTAGTGGGGTCATTTGAGCACTCAGGCTTCTATAGGGGGATTTTTCTTCAGCATATTTAAGCAAAGTTTATCTCCTTCCAGTTGTTTGCAAGCTGCAGTGCTGGCAGATATTGTTCAGCCCCTCTGTGCCTGGCATTGGAAGCACCACGTTGTGTGACTCGATGCCATCAGCTGTAAAAGACTGAGGTAGTGTATATTTAAGGGGAGAAAAAAACAAGTGGGATGCCCCACATAGGAGACAAAGTTTGTATATCATGTAGGTCCTGGAATTTAATTGCACGAGGCCTCGGCAGACTCGCCAAAAGTGTCTGTTGTTTGCCCTGAACCTCTGGTGTGAGGGTGATGGAGAGAGTTCTTAGTGCAAATGAGGGACAGTCTGCGCTGTTCACAAAGCGACAGGATGGGCATCTTGTCTTCTGCGCAAGCGAAGAGTCCCAGCGCGGACAGTGGTGATGCAGTTTGCAGTTTCTTTTCATGCTGTTTAGAAAAAGAAGTGATTCATTCAAGGTCTTGGGGCACTTAACCTTGTTCCCTGGATTTGTGTCTCAAATAGTTTGAAAGCTGCTGTTCTTGCTCTGAGATGAGGAGAAGGACGGCTTTGTAGTTCAAAGAAAGAAAGCGGGAGACCGGGGCAGAAAGGTCTGGCATGACATGGGACAAGCTGTTCTACCACTGACTCTCCTGTACCTAAGACAGCTATGCCGGACTTGGAACACTAGTTGCAAGTCTCACTGCTCTGTATTACTTGAATTGAAAACATTTAATAATAAGTAGATTTATTTTTGTTTAGATTACTTTAGAGATTTCAAAGAAAAGTCTCTTACGTTAGAGAAGCCTGGCAGATGTTTCTGCTATTGTCCTTGAAAGGATTTTTTTTTAAAATAGGGTTTGCAAAACACATTTTTTTCCAGAACAGTCAGTATTTTTTATCCTGTAATGTGTATCCTAGCATCTCCAGTCTTTCTTTCTCACAATCCCGATCAAAGTACCAGCGATGGGAGCAATGTATCCTAATAAAAATTATGAAGGGAGTCCAACAAACTTGTCAAGGCTTACAAATTTGTTACAGGAATAACCCAGCTGGGAAAGGAAACAAGAATGCAATCTAACGAGCCTAGAAGGCATAGCTAGTCATATTCTTTCAGGCACCCCAAGATACGCATCCAGCTCTGGAGCC